ACTACTAGGCCCTATTTGAAATGTATTCATTCTGACAGAATTTGATTGAAATATACTTTCGAATTTGTCTTTGAGGATCTTGACAAAGTTACTACTCCCCTACACAACCACGGGTACATGTGAATCGACTTTGGCAACACTTCCAGGGCTGGAAATGTGCTGTCTCCTATTTGTACAAGTCCTACTAATTCTTGTGATCCCTAAAATTCTGAATTTTATGACTGCCGATGCGATGCATGGTACTGACTCGGTTCCCTACATTTCCAAAAGTGTTGATCAGTGCTTTTATCCAATTGAGGTTCGATGAAAGGGCGGCCGAATTGACAAGACATTTGCGACCTCCACAACTTCGTCGCTCTCGACTCGATGACTCATGAATAAGCGTTCTAGTCATCATCAAAGAAAATCCCTCCACCAAATGTGACATCTGAAAGGTGTGGCCTTCCTTGAAATTCACATCTAACCCGTGTCCCAAAGGCGTTTGTGACAGTGGAACGTGGGTGGGCAACATACAGAAATTGTACACAGCCCTATCACATCCCAATCTCAAGTCTGGTTGGGGGTACCAATGGCATTCAGGAAAGGGGGAAACTGAAGCCCAGTCCAATCCATTCGGGATGAGGATATGATTTGGGAAGCAAAGTCAAGGGAAATTCAACGATAACGTGAGGCTGATTTGCTTGAATGAGCTAAAATTCAACTGCCGGTCCTTCATTACTTTATGAGGTCTAGGCTGACAGAAACTCTTGGTCAAGATTTAGTGTTAGTTTTGAAACCTATTTTGTATGCATATACGTGACGGCGCTTATATCTGGCCCAAATGGCAGTCCTTCTACTTTCGTTTATTTAAGTAGCAGGTTTGCGAGATTCCCAATATGTCATATATTTACTCAGTTTCGTTCAATGTGACGAAGGACTGGCATTTGACTTTCATCGCCTTCGAGAGCACGGGGATAGGGACACCTTTTAGGAAGGAATTCAATGCAAACGTGAGGCTGACGCATACGATTGTGGGAAAATTCCACTAGCAATCGCTCATCACTTCACACGAAATAATACTTTATGCTCTCAGGCTTCCGGGACGGATGGAAGTTTCTTTCACATGGACGCTAGTCCATCGTTGCGTCTATACACACATACAAGCGACTTCTGTTGTGTCCAGACTACTGTTTTTAGCGATGCTCCGACCTCATTTTGTTGGCATGCTTGATTGCTTCTCTCTTGACTGTGTCGCCAAGTGTCCGATTTGCACGGAGACAGTGATTCGGGGGCATGTGATCCATCCTCCCGAAAGGCCTCTCCTCCAGTCCCATTCAAACAAGCAGCCTCCGAGTCGCCTGAGTACGATCGTCTCCGGCCAAGCCCGGTTCGCTTTGGTGGACAACCGAAAAGAGACAACTTGGGACACACGCTCTTGCTTGCTAAACATCCTTCTTGCGTAATCTTATGGTCATCGTCCAATGTTGCTCTGAGGGATTTCTAGACCCTCAACATTTACAACCTACTGCTTTATAGAAATGGTTTCCCTTTGATTTGCCAACTCGGTCACATTGTCAGGATCGCGTCGATTATCCATTCCAGCATCGCATTGGAGACGGTAGCCCTGCCCAACTTCGCGGCATTCTATAACTCACCAAAAACTCAAATGAAATATGTATTTTGGCCAAAGGTTTCTAGCAAAATATTTTACAACCTATCCGTAATTTTTCAATGAGAACCTTTTCAGTCGAGGTCATCAAAGGTGGTTTAAGGACGGATTGTCTCGAATCCCGGATGAAATAACCTTTAGGGAGGCAGGACGGAGTGAAATTCAGTGAAAGCATAAGTTCTAGTCATGTTAAACTATCAGTCCATCCTCACCTCATGCGACTTGAGGTGAAATGAAACTCTTAGAATGATTGAATTTGTGTTGCAATCTAACGAAAAATTATACAATAAAGCATTAAGAGGCTTATGGGCCACCGGAAGTTCGGCGAGAGGAGGAGGGGGCAACAGCAACCAGTCGAGGACAGGCTAATTTGATCTGACGGCGAGGCAATTCTTGGAGGTACGAAGAGTAACCGGGCTTTGATGAATCTCATAAGATAGCATTGCTTCACTTCGTATGAAAATGTATCCGATGAAGAGATGCATAGGTCGATCTAACTAGAAGACGACGGCTGATTCGCTTCGTACTGAAGCCGTTTGGTTGTAATACAACGCTCATGTTGACGCAGTCCATGAGACATTTTCTCTCGTTTTGGGTGGAAACGGGATCAGCTTTCGTCCATCATATGATGGACATCATCAGAGCTGGAACTAATTATTGCAAAAGACTCAAGTCAACATTAGGTCAAGAGGAATGTCAGGATCTGACTTACACCTCATACGTGTAATCATAATTGAAAAATGAAAATGACTACCAGTAAATCAGTAATATGAGATGTATTCACCCAATTTCGTTTAAAATGGTAAAAGAAGAATTTTCCCACAATCATATAAGTTAAGCTGACGCCTCCATTCAATTTCACATAGCCTTGCTTTCCCAAAAGTTGTTCTCATCCAGAGTGGACTGCAATATCATATTCTTTTTGTGGAATTGTCGATGAAGCAAACGTGCATCTGCTATCACAATCGACTACTATACTTTATTTTTCGAATTAAATATTGTTTTCGTGACTACCAGTAAATCAGTAGTATGAGATGTATTCAACCAATTTTGCTTAAGGTGATGAAGGACTGGTAGAAGAAGAATTTTCCCACATTCATATGAGTTTAGCTGACGCTTCCGTTGAATTTCACATAGCCTTGCTTTTCTAAGAGTTGTTCTCATCCCGGTTGGAGTGAAG